TCGCCTGTTTTTCTATGTAAGCATCACTTCTATGTGAGATATATAGAAACAAAAATAATAAGGGGTTTTAAGTATGTTTCTATACTAAAGTTTTCAGCCTCGTATTTACTCAACTTAAGGCATAGTGTAAGCCCAGAAGTAGCATGTATAGTCACGTGGTTACTCGCTAATTAATAACATTGTATTTAAACTTGCTCCTATCATGAGACACACAAGAATACACAATACTTTCTACATCCAAAACTGCTTACAAAATATGTATTCCACCTCCTATCACCACATCGGGCCTCGGGCGCTCTCTATGATTCCAGCATTGGATCGACTGGTGTCTGGCCTTCTGGCGCATCCCATTCTGCATAATCTGTGCTGTGCACTTCTATCCCTGTAGGTTTACGCTTCCGGCTATGCCTCCCCGTATCTGCTTGGCCTTCACCTGCAACTGCAACTGCCTTTGGTCGACCGCGCTTTCCTTTGCCTTGAGTAGGAGTTTTGCTTATGATGAGAGTTCAAGTAGTTACCTATATTAAGATAGCTATCTGTTCTACTAGTTACCGTATTTTCATAACATAGTGTCTTGGCAAAGCAAAGTATGCTCATAGCCTATTGTTGAGACATCGATTACAGGCTCTCGTCATGCATCTCGTACAACTATTTACAAACTTGAGGTGATGATGGCATATTCCACACGTTTCACGTTCACCATGCCTGCCATATGTTCGTTCCCATTTATGGTCACATTTGCCGGCGAACCGACTAGTATCCTCGTCTGCGTCTTCGTCGTTAGCAATTGCATACCCTCCGGCTACGGTTGCGAGTCGCATGCGCATATCTTCTAAGATGTCAATGTTAGGATCTAACTCAGGTATTTCACCCTCTTCAGGCATCGCGATTCGGTTGCGTGGGCCATTCCCAGCTTTTCCGTTGGTGAGGAGGCGCCTTTCATCCCACTGAGGGCAGGTGCAGGTCTTCCATAGCGTTGCGCATAGGTAACAAAACTGCGTGCCGCATCGACATCTATCCCACTGTCAGCGATGATTGGATTCATGATCTCTTTCGGTCTTACCGCATATGGTAGCAGCCTGTGGTTAGCTCAACCAATGTTCTACAGTTAGGACATCGCTGCCACTCCTCTTTGTTAGCTACTTCTATCAGTCGCTGTATTGATGGATCTCTTGGGCACACCCCATTGTGTCTTGGATTTTGACAAAGAGCGCAGGTTTCGTTCTGGCAAGCTTGGCATACTGCAGTATCAGCAGTGACATTATCAGGCTTGATAAATTTGGCACAATGTCGGTTACTGCAGTATACAGGATTCGGCGTCGCTAGCTCCATCTGTTTGTCCTCGTATTGTGCTAGCAGTGATGGTGGGCACAGTTGCTTGCAACGAGATATCGGCAAGATTTTGCCGCAGCACCGAGGCGGAAAAAGAGTGGTGTCTGCGAGACTAGTGTGAATTAAGTCATTCAGGCACGTCCTGCAGTAAGCATGAGTGGAGTCGTCTGTCTGACGCTTGCAGCAAAGCTCAAGTGCATCAAAGCGCGGATACGGCTCCATGCAGGCAGAACACAAGATGTGGGTTGCATGCTCGTCGTGATCTGATGAAACTTTTGCCCTTTCTTTGCCTTTTGCCTTGGATTTGGAAGGGCCAGCTTTGCCGTAGAGATTATGGTCCGACGCGGTAGCTAATTCGGTATTGTGTTCAGTGGGCTTGTAAGCATTGATTACTGCCAAAGTCTCCGTCAGCAGGTCCAAATTCTGCGTCGAATTTAGATTCTGGTGATCATCATTGGCCCTCAGTGGTCGCTTCATGTCGTCTCTCTTCGATGAAAGCGATCGCGTAACGTGTTCATCAGCAATACCGCTCAGTCTACACGCGAGATTGTGATCCTCTTCCGCCTGCCTCTCTTCTCGAAGAGATTCAGCAAACACAGCTCGATTGTCTTGATCTTGTCTGAGGAGGTTCATAGCGAAGGCCTGGTCTTGCAGGAGTAACAAGGCGCGTTCCAGTTCATCCTGTAATGTCTTCCAAGCCGTCCACTGATCCCCCTCATCCGACTCTTGCAGTGCCGACTCGACGTCGGCGAGCTGCAACTGAATCGCCAGTTGTGCTGTCTTCGGATGGATGCCTACTATTTCCATGGTTTTTCGTAAAGTTGTATGCTATGATAATTGACGACTGATGAACGTATTTTTTGTTGAGGCGAGACCATGATAGCACTATAGCCGACCTTATCCATGCCCCGCACTTAGTATGTGCACGGACTCAAATGTATGTACTGGATGTGGTCAGTGCATGCAACAGTTCAGCCGATGCAACACCATCAGCCCCACCAAAATTTCAACCCATTACTTTCAACGCGTAATATCTCAACCACCATGACAGCTCTCACCAAAGCGATTGCAGCGATCGATTCGCAAGATGCGGAAGGTCAACTTTCATACCGCGCAGCTGCAAAAAAGTTTGGTGTTGAGCTTACAACATTGACGCGCCGGCACCAAAACAAAACACAGTCACCAGCTGCAGCTGCGCAAAACGTCAATTACTCACTCCACCACAAGAATCTGAGCTAGTAAAATATATAGAAAAACTCT